CAGTAGTTCTTGTGAAATTTTAGTTGTAAGTTTTAGTAGTAGTATTTAACAAGTTTACATACCTAGTAGTTTTCTGGCTGTTTTTCATCTTATTTTTTGAATACTAGAATTAGTTCGCTTTATTTTGTAAATTGATGAATTGTCAGGCTAATGAAAGAAATTCTCCAGCTTCATTTCTTTGGTCTCAACCTTTCCGAAATTAGCTGACTAAACGCAAGACACAAAATCAGAGAAGACATACACTTTTTTCATTCGCTACAAAGATTGTTCCATCTGATGGAAAAAACTATCAGCTGACATAAAGGAATGACCTAGGTTAGTAATGTTAGAAAGTTTATACACAAACAACTATTGTGAACTGCCAGATTTAGACAATTCAGGCATGGCTTACTTAAAATGTTTTACCTAATTAGTAATTCGTTTTTAAAAACGTAAATATATCAAAAACAATAAATTTAGACATAGGGAATATTAAATAAACATTGGTAATGTTATTTTCGATATGGTAAAGTATGGTAATGTTACCTTTGGATAGGGACATACAATACAATTTTATTTAAAATTATCGAGAAAATAATGTACTTCCATTTTTACCCTTCCCTGTATTCGATATAAAGAAAATTAGCAATATCAATCAGTTTTGCAAATTTTGACAATCAATAAAGAATGAGGCAGCAATAGATCATTCTTATCGTGTTTATTTGTAATTATACAGGACTTGAACTTTTTAAAATTTTCATATAAAATTGGTTCTAACTTTGTAAATGCCCTGTATAATATAATAAAACTTTATATTGTTGTGATGGGAAAGTGAAGAAGATTTCAAATATAAAATAATATACAGGTTGTTCTATATAAAAAAAAACATAAGTTTGGTCTGCCACTATGTTACCAAACATCCTGTAACATTCTTAATAATTTTGTAGATGTTTGAAGATGCTTATAACTTCTTTTTTTTTTAATGGAAAACCCTGTATATTTTTAAATTTTAGAAATATTCATGTTATTCCAAACATTTTTTGTTAATACTTTCTTATACCTATTGTGAACCGTTTTTGAGTAGTTATATTGGTTTTTTATATGAAAATTACACTTTTCTACCATGTATATAAAGTTCAATATCCTCTAATGTAATTTGTATAAAAATTCCTTACAGAGTGCTGTCAAAATTGGCATAAAACCGCATCCTAAATTTTCGCCTAATTCCTTTTTTTTTAAACGGGTCACCCTGTATGTGATTTATTATTTTAGAAAAATATGTTTTTCACTATCGATCTGTATTAGTATTCCCTATACTACCTCATGCAGTTTTCAAATAAATTAACTTTATTTATTTTTGTCAAAAAAAATTATTTATCAAGTAGCCTATGGAATATTCTGACAAAAATATCGGTTATTCCTAATGTTTAATAGTAACCTTGTTGTATGCCAACAGTATAGTATCCAGAACTTGTCGTATTTTTGCTATCCTGAAAAGTCTCGACCAAATCATAAAACTGTAAAACGTTTGTTGAACAACTGTTTCCAGTTTGGTCAGTTTATAAGTAAAAGGATATTAAACGATAATAAAGACTTACAAATAGATATCCTGGGATATTTTTCAGCTAATCCAAATTCATCCTTACAGTAATGTGAGCAGGTTTACATTGTTACAGGTATCGACTCGAACAATGCACAGAATTTTAAAAAACATTATTGGATCCTTTATTCGTATACATCCTGAAGATTATGTAAGACGTCTAGAATTTTGTGAATGGGTTTTAATGAAATGCCAAGATAGAGATTTTACAAAGAATGGTATGTTTAACCGACATAACAGTCACCTCTGGAGTGACGTAAATCCTCAGCTCACGTGCGTTAGTAAATTTTAAGCATTCTTTTCGATCAATGTTTTTTGTGTTTTGTGTACAACTATTTTGGGATAAGGAGATTTCATATTTTATATTTGCAATGTTGCCAGATTTGCGTTTCTCTTATATTATTAGTAACTTTGGTTTTTCAAATTCATCACCCTGTGTACTGTGTATTCAGTCATTATTGGAATCTCCTATTCAATACGAGTTCAACCATATCATTGATTATAAACCACTACCATAGTGGTTTAGTAGTGGTTTATAATCAATGACCATATGTAACACTTATGTAGTCAGGAAAGTCTTAAATACATACAACAGTGCAAAATATGTAGATTTTAATAAATTTAAATGTTTAAATGTAGAATACTGTGATTTTGACATTTGTTCACCATTTACATTATTATTACTAAATTTTATATCTAAATATCCTAAATATTATAACTAAAACTGACAGCAGTTGTGTTTCGAACAGTTCTGCAAGATAAATTGCTTCTCTAAAATGGCTCTTAACGAAAAAGAACGAATTACTTTTCTAATGATTAGAGAGTACGGTGACAGAAAAAGATCTTATTGTGAAGTAGCCAACTTGTTGAATGATACTTTTGCAAACCGTTCTCCTATTCATAAGGAGACGATACAAAAAACTGTAAACCGATTTGCGGAATCTGGAGAAGTAAAAGATTGAGAAGGATCAGGTAGACCGAATAGAGTTATGAATGACATCAAAACTTTATATTACAAAGGTTTGTTAAAGATCCACATACATCCTCACGCAGGGTTGCACAACTACATGATGTAGGTCGTTCTTCAGTCTTATGTGTATTACGTAAGAATAAATTTAAATCATACAAAATTAACTTATTGTAAGAATTAAATGAAGATGACTTTGATCGTAGATTAGAGTTTACTGAGGTAATGATGAATAAAATTGAAAATGATGAAAATTGCGTTAACAGAATATGTTTTTAATCTTTTTTATTTTTAACCTCGACACTGTGTGGAAGTGCAAATCGATACAATTTAAGGTACTGGAGTGACGTAAATCCACATTGGAAGCGCGAAAACCATACTCAAAGACCACAAAAATAAATGTATGGTCAGGTATAGTAGGTACTCAGTTAATTCGGCCATTTTTATCGAAGAAAATTTAATGTCAGATAGTTGCGAAATGGTACTTAGCAATTAAATTGTACCCACACTGAGAAACTAGTTTGGGGCCAAGTTTTTAGATGTGGTTTCAGCAAGATAGAGCTCCAGCTCATTTTGGTGTAAATGTTCGACGTTATTTAGATGAAATATTTCCCGGACGATGGATTGGTAGACGAGGTAGAATTGAATGGCCTCCATGTTTACCTGATTTTAATCCTAAAGATTATTTTTATTGGGATACTTGAAAAATTCAGTTTATAAATCTAAACCAGCACGTCTTGCAGAGCTAAGGCAACGAAATATCGATGAATCTCGAATAATTTCTAGACAATCATGGAGAAATGTGGTAGACGCATTCTACTATCGATTAGGGTACTGTCAACTCACAAATAGAGCACATTTTGAACACTTGATAAAGTAACTATTATGTTAAAAAATGTAACCTATCAATTGTTACGTTTTAATGTAGTTGAAAATAGTTAGTATTAAAAAAATTATAGAAACAATCAGGCGTTGTCAGACTTCTGTTTTATGTATTTAAGACCTTTAGACTACATAAAATTATAAGTGTTACATATGGTTGAACTCATATTGAATAGGAGATTCCGTTAATGACTGAATATACAGGGTGATGAATTTGAAAAACCAAAGTTACTAATAATATAAGTGAAACGGCAAATCTGGCAACATTGCAAATATCAAATATGGATTTTCCTTATCCCAAAATAGGTGTACCTCAAATTTTGTACAATTATGACTAGCGATTAGACTACTAGATGACCAAGTAGAGAGATGGAAAGAGCATTTTCAGGAGATGCTAGGTATTCCCAGAGATAACGCAGATGCAATTGTCGAAAACCTGCAGAATATAGACTTGCATATTTCTTGTGAGGTTCCTTCCAAAACGGAGATAATAACAGCTATCAAATCTCTGAGAAACAACAAGTCACCGGGAATCGATAACATTGCTGCTGAAATACTTAAAGCTGATCCGCATCTAACTGCTGAACTTTTGCTCCCCATAATCCGAGAGGTGTAGGAAACAAACCACATTCCAGCGGGCTGGAATTAAAGGTAATATTATCAAGCTTCCAAAAAAAGGCTACCTCACACTGTGCAAAAATTGGAGAGGAATAACCTTGCTTACTGTCATAAATAAAATTTTCACGACCATCATACTGAAAAGATTAACAAACAAGGTTGAGTTTCGAGCTAATCAAGCAGGCTTTAGACCAGAATCCTCCTGCATAGAACACACCCTTATACATGGTTTTTGTTGATTTTGAACGTGCCTTTGATAGCTTGTCTCACGCTGCTGTATGGAAAATTTTAGAGCTAAGAAACATCCCGCAAAAAATAATTTCTATTATAAAGTCACTATATACTGATGCGAAATGCAGCGTGACACACAATGGGATCAACAGTGACGAATTCGACGTACTTACTGCAGTTAGACAGGGATACGTGCTTTCTCCGTTTCTTTTTAACATAGCTACAGACTATGTTCTCTCCAAACTAGACTCCGATACAAGAGGGATACAATGGACGTTAACCACACGACTAAGCGATCTAGAATACGCGGACGATATCTGCCTATTAGGTCAAAGGTTCCAAGATCTGGCTTACCAATTGGAAACACTTTTCACTGAAGCCAATAAAATAGGTTTGAAAATCAATATTAGTAAAACCAAGTCCATGAGAATAAATGCAAGGAACAACACGCTATTTACTATCGACAATTTGCAGATTGAAAATGTGGAAAACTTAACGTATCTTGGAAGTGTCATAACAGAAAACGGAGGTATGAGGTATGAGGATACGAAAAGCCCAACAAGCTTTCAACACGCTCAACCCTGTTTGGAGATCTGGCGAGTATACTACAATGACAAAGATCCGAATATTCCGATCAAATGTCATGTCTGTTCTACTCTACGGATGTGAAACCTGGAAAGTGATAAACACCCTCACAGACAAACTGCAGGTCTTTGTTAACAAATGTCTACGAAGAATTGTTCGTATATTCTGGCTAACACCATCAGAAACGAAGATCTGCTACACCTGACCGAACAAAAGAGGGTTCAAAATGAAATTAAGACCAGAAAGTGGGGTTGGATAGGTCACACACTCCGAAAAAATAGTTCCAGTATTGCAAAGACTGCCCTCCAGTACAAACTTGGAGAAGATCCATCATGAACGAGATAAGAGGCCAAGGAAAGTCTTCGAATGAGGTGAAGGCCTTAGCGCAAAATAGAACCCGATGGCGCGTTTTCACTTAAGCTCTATGCTCCACTTAGGAGTTCAAGAACCTTATATATATATATATATATATATATATATATATATATATATATATATATATATATATATATATATATATATATATATATATATATGACTAGTGATTTACGAGATAATTGGCCGTTTCCAGACTTTTGGGCCACTCTATATATATATATATATATATATATATATATATATATATATATATACAAACGATGGAACTTTCAGCAAAAGCTTGCTACTGCTCTAATGAAATAAAAGCCAAATATATTAGTCAAACTTTTTACGTCTGAATCAGAATCAATGAAACGATATAACTATTATTTCGGACGTCTACCTCGTTAGTCGCTCGAGCTGATTCCTATTGAAACCCAAAAAGTCCAACTAATGTCTCCAAAATATTTCGCACTTGCACTACTACTCTACTAAATCGTATGGCTTATTTGGCCAAGTAAACTTAAGCACTGCCGTGTGGAAAACCTGTCTAACTTAACGATACCTGTTCTCAAAGTGAGGATGGATCTGGCTGAAATTTCAATATTTATTATAAAGTATACGCGATATAAACGTAATGATATATGTTTCGGTTACTGAAAATTTAGTTGTTAGAAATTCCGTATTTAATTTCAGGCCAGAAAAACTAACGAAATATAATTGTTCCGGAACGATAGCAGATTTCGCTGTAGCGATGTTATGTAATTTGGACAAACCAGTAATATCTTATCAAAACGCGGCAAGTTGGGGTTATTTTAATTGTCGAACTTCTGAATGGAATACGGAATTGTTAACAAATGCCAGTTTTCCCGTTGAGTTATTACCGGAAGTCCGAGCTAGCGGCGAAATTGCTGGACTATTAGCCGGGAATTGGCACAGCGTGCCAAAAGGAACTCCAATTGGTAAGTTTGTTAATGAACACAATATAGGTCTTCCAAAAATAACTTCCGAAAAATTATTCCACGATTTATAGGGATGGTCATAAGACAATATTATTAATTTACCTAGGTATATGTAAAAATGTGTTCAAAAACTGTATGGTATATTGTATTTACAAAATAAAATAAAATTTTTTATATTGTTTTATGTTTATAATTATGAGATATTTTATCATTGAAGTGAGTTAATAAAATAAAGATTTATTTTGGTCATCCCTAGAAACCGTGGTATAATTCATAGCCTTTACAGCAGATTTTATTATTAGCGAAGTAATGAAAATAATTTATGTAGCTTTAATTTTAGCAAATCTGTCTACGGCACACTTCGTGGACTTGTGTGTATTGTTTGTTGTTTTATTTACAATTATTCCCGTTTTTGCATGGTTGACAGTAAAAGAACGTGTTTGCTTGTTTTAGGCTTGTATTATACCTCTTTTTTGTTTTTCCTACGACAGTAAGGTTATAAGGATTGGTCATGAACTTCTCAGCCAAAGGAACATTGGTATTCCAGATATCCATGTCTACACCTGTTTGTTACGTGTATTGATTTTTTCAATATTTTAACATAATTATCCGCCAATGGCAACTCATCTGTTTTTGTGGATTTTCCTATGTAGCGGCGGCATCTTCTAGATATTTCGTAGACCATCACACATCACAAAACAGAAAAAGTTTCAGACCATATTTAGCTGGTTTATTTGGTATGTTCATTCGAAACGCGCAGTGACCACGAAATCCTACCAGCTGTTCGTCGATATTTAGATGGTGCTGAACCTGGTTTGTACGAGGCTAATATATACTTCTATTAACTTATTCCAAATGTCTTCTATTGGTGCAAATTTAGATTTTTGTCTTCTTTTCACGCGTGTGTTAGTGTCATAAAAACATAAGCAAGCTGTAGAAATGGAAAACGTCTTTGACTCATTGTTGCTTTATATCGAGTACTACAAAAGGGTAGTATTGAACATGGTGTCGGTTCCAAGTGATTATCTTTTAAAATTCTAGCTAAAATATATAATCCAAGTAATTATTTAAGTTCTTTCAAACTTGCTTCTTAAACAAGTGCATTCTCCGTATCCTAATTAATTATTAGGATAGGCAGATTAATGTATTTTACTGTTATATTCAAAATATCACCCGAAAAAATATTTGAAGGGCGCGTACTGGATCAAGTATATCTCGTAAATGCGGCCAAGGTCCCGGTTTTACATATATAATAATCTTCGAAGAAGTTTTGCTTTTAGTCGTCCCAATTAGTTTGGAAAACCATTTATATCCATTTTTTCATATAAATTGTCTTTAGTTGGGGTAACCACAAAGCAAACTATTTCATCGGTAGGATCAGTCTAAAAAATAAAAACGCAATAAAAATACTTATACCTTAAATGCAAAATATGACATACCCGAACACAAAAATTTTCTAAAGCTGTGTCATCCTCTGATCTACTGCCGGGCCGGAAGCTTTCCTCTCTTCTGTTCTTATCACATTGAGTTTTGGATGTTTTTGAATATCTGGCTTTTCGATTTCCAAATCTTTTTTTTTTTCCAAATTTTTGACTTGAAACTGAATTTTTGAAACTATCCAACTAACAGTTGCGATTCCATGTCCTCATGTGGCAACCATTCTGTGTTCTCTACAACTCTTCCATCGATAAACCACGCCTTGCTTTTTAGCCCCTTATTGGTATCTTCTTCTTCTTCTACTTTTTGTAGATCTTTCGATCTGTTTAATTCTGAAGCTGCCTCTGGTTAATTTCTTGGGAGGTAGATTGTCAACTATCCCTCCATCTTTTAGGTGGTCTTCCGGGGGGTCTTGAACCGGGCGGATTGTTTTCTAGGGCAATTTTTGGGAGTCTATTCTCATCCATTCGTCTTACATGGTTGTACCACATCCTCTTGCGCTGCCTTCCCCATCTTACAATATCTTGAATTTTGCACTGCTCTCTAATGTTTGTATTTCTCACTCTGTCTCTTCTTGTTTTCCCCATTATTGTTCTTAGGGTTTTCATTTCGGCAACCCTTAGCATCTGTTTCGTTTTGTTGGTATCTTCGCGCACTTCTATGCCATATGTCATGATCGGTCGTATGCAAGTCATAGATTCTAATTTTACTATCTGTGCGCATATACGGATTTGACCAGACTATCTCCCGCAGACATCCTGACAGTGCAGATGCTTTGTTGATCTGACTCCTCAGGTCCTTTACTGGGTCGTGGGTGCTTGATATATCTATGCCCAGATATCTGAATTGCATCACCTGTTCTATGGGGTTGTCCTCAACCACTAACTTACATCTGAGCGGATCTTTTGCTATTGTCATACATTTAGTTTTGTTGGTAGAGATGTTCATATTTAGTAGTCGGCTTGTTTGAAAGAACTGAAAGAGCTGCCTTTGGAGATCATCTTCTGATTCGGCAATAATTGCTGCCTCGGCTGCGTAACACACCATACCAATTATTTTGTTGCCCATTCTATATCCGAGATTAAGAGATGTTACTTTGTTGATAATTTTGCCCATGAGAAGATTAAACAAGAAGGGGCTTAAACTGTCGCCTTGTCTAATTCCTCCCGGTGTTGGAATATTTTCAGTGAATTCGTCTCCTGCTCTAACTTTGGTTACGTTGTTGTTATTTAGGTTATGGAATATCTTTGTTATACTGGTCGGTGTTTCATTTTCTATTAATATATTAAGAATGTCTCCCAGGCGAACTCTGTCAAATGCCTTCGTCAAATCAATGAAGCAAATATACGCTGGCATGCCGAACTCTATAGCTTTTTCTTTTATTTGTTTTATTATAAATACTGCGTCTGTTATAGACCGCCCTTTTGTAAAACCTTGTTGTTCTTCAGCATTAGTGATTTGCTTTTCCAATTTGTCCTTGAGAATACCCGTGAAAAGTTTCATTGTTGTATTTAAGAGGGTTATTCCTCTATAGTTTTGTGGGCAGGTTTTTTGTCCTTTTTAAATATGGGGATTGTGATACTATTATGCCATTCCTCTGGTGTTTCTGTTTTGTTTAATATTTTGTTAAATAGTTGTGCCAGTTTACTTGCAAGTTCCGGGCCTCCATATTTTAAAAGTTCATTGGGTATACCATCCGTTCCCGGTGATTTTCTGTTTTTTAGCTTTTTGATCTTTGCTTCTACTTCTTCGTCATTGATTGTAGCACTCACATCTGTTTCGCCTTCGTTTATATTCAGCGTTTCTTCAGCATCATATAGCGCTTTAAAATGCTGTTGCCATGCCTCTATAGGTACTCCTTTGGTCTGCACGAACTCGTTAACTGGTTTTTTCCTGTTGCGGAGCATTTTCCATACTTTCTTTTGAGCACCATATAGGTCGTAGTCCATGTCGCAAGTGAATTTGGCCCAATGTTCTCTTTTGATTGATGTTATTCTGGCGTTTACTTCGTTTCTTATTTGGACATATTCTGCATGAGCTTCTTCCGATTGCGTGCTTTTATATCTCAGGTAGCATTTGCGTTTTAATTCAGAGAGTTCTTTTACATCTTGGCAAAACCACGGTTTGGTGTGGTTTGTCGCTCTCGTGTTAATTTTCCGCTTTCCAATCGCTTCTTCTGCTGCTTCGTTGATGCATTTCTTAATTTTTTGCCAAGTGTCTTCTACTCCCCATTCGGGTTTTAAGTCGATCTCTTTTAGTTTGCTGGTAATCCTGTTCTCATAAAGCAGTTTTGTACTCTCTGTTGCTAGCGACTCTATATTATGTTTTTCGATGAACATTGGGGGTCTTTCTGTTTCGTTGCGGACGTTCTAGTAGCATCTTGCATAAAACAAGGTTATGATCAGTCCCCAGGTTAGCAGAGGTTGTGCTCTGACATCAAGTACTTGTGACGGAGTTATCGCTCGATTTGTGATTATAAAATCTATCATTGATCGCTGGTCTCAATTATTGTTAAAAGTGTATTTATGTTGGTCTTTATGAGGAAATATTGTATTGTATGTATTGTTGATTCTCATTTCATTTCTAGCGCAAAAGTCTATTAGTGCTTCGCCGTTTTCAATAATTATTTCTTCGTTGTACTTTTGTTTTATACCTGGTATGACAACGTTTCCGATCCGTGCATTAAGATCCCCGAGTACGATAATTTTGTGTTTCGTATTTATGTTATCTACGACGTTTTGTAGTTGCTGATGGAAATTTTCAGAGATTTTTAATAATCTATCGTTGATGTATTCGATATCTTCGATGTTTTGCGTGTATTTATCGTGCAGCAAAATTCCAACTCCTGAATGCGCTCTTTCTTGTTTAGCTTTCCCGCTGTATATGAGTATAAATTCTCCGTATTTTGATGTTCCTTGGCCTTTTTTCTTTGTTTCGGAGATTCCGCAGATGTCAATATTGTGTTTCTTCATTTCTATTATGATCTCCTGGTCTCTTCCGTTCCACGACGTAATGTTCCAGCACGCGATTCGTGTGATGGGGTCTTTAGGTTTTCTTTTACCAATTCGTTTTTTCATTGTCATAGCGTGTGTCGTCATCTGATATTTCCGTCCGGTATCCGAGGCTGAATCTTCAGTTCTGTGAGCCAATATGGGTTTCTTTACCCCAGGTAGGTGGCTAGCCTTGCCATGGGGACCCTCCTCCTTTATCCGGGTTTGGGACCGGCAGTGTCATCCGATGAGCTACTCAATCCACCCATCTGACAACCCAGGCGGAGTTTGGTACTGGTATCAATACGTCAAAAATTGTGGTATAATGTGCGTCTATTGGTATCGATGCGTAAAATGTATGTACAGTGTTCCAGAAAATAATATATGATTACTCTAGCACTGACAAATCCGTACTGGCTACAGTTATAGTGTGTATTGAATCGATAGGTACTGCATTGGAGCAAGCATAGCTGAAAGGAGGACATAAAGCGCGGACCAATAACTGCAGTGCTGTCAAATTTGTAATTTGAGTACATTTTACGTACGATAGCGGTAAAAGGTTAAAAGCTATTAAGAAAATATAATTTTATTAAGCTACTACGTGCATACCAATTCTATAACCAACAAATTACCATATATGTATA